CCAGTTAATACACCTGAGTACCCTCCAGCACTCAGCACAAAATTAAGTCTTCATCTCCTCTGCCTTGCAATTGACACTGGCCGGAAGACTAGACTGCTCCCGGTCCCAGCTTATAACCCAACAAGACACTGACCAGCCCCCACCCTTGGAATATAAGGCAATGAAGCCTGAGTGATGTGCTTGATTTGAAGGAGACAGAATTATGGGATGGTAAGAAAGGATGGTTGATTATGAGAGAGATAGAAGCAAGGAAAGCAGAAGCAGGGAATGAACCAGGAAAGGAGAAGGGGAAGAAGAAGGATTAGAATCTAGAATGGTGGTTTCTCATAGTTTAAGAGTTCTAGACCTTCGATGAGAAGCTGATGAAAATAAAGGCCAGATAAACATACATGCACATGCCATTTTAAAGGCTTCATGGGCTTTCTAAATTCCAGCTACCCTCAGGACCTGTCCACTCTTGAGGAATTCTCATCCAGAAGCTCTGAGATACCAGTAAATCAGAAAAAAAAGGACCACCTAGTTGTGAGCAGGGAGCCGATACAAACACTCAAGGGGCAAAGCGGCCCATCACAAGGTCGCCTTTCCATTAATGGTCCCTAACTGAATCTCACTTCATGCTCCATAGCCGGTGAGCTTCTCAATGTGTTCCACAGACCACGGCAGAAGGAACGAGGGGTTCTTGAGGTTCTTTCCTACCAGCAAGGACAAGTCATCATGCCCTGCTAGCAGAAGCTGGCCCCCAGGGAGCCTAAACCGGCACAACCACTTTGCAGAGCAATTTGGCGGCATCCAGTGAAGCTAAAAGACTGTAGAGAGCACGACTCAGCACTTCTACTCCTGGGCATGTGCCCTAGAGAAACTCGCTTGCAAGGAAGAGGGGCAGCTTGGTTCAAAATAGCCTGAAGCTGGACGCAACCCAAATGGATAAACACATGGTCAGAGAGTCATACCACAGAGCACGTGACAGCGGGGACAGCGGGTGAATGAGGACGACCTATCAATCAGCTCTGTCTCAGGAGGAGTGCAAGAGGCAGGCTGCAGGTGGAAACACATTTTAGGAGAAACATGCAGCTGGGTTGCTCCTTAGAAGTAAGGAGGGCAAGGCTTTGTCATCCTGTGTACTTCAGACATGGAGTCAGGAAGGTCCAGACCCTAGACAAGGACATGGTGCTGGGCAAAGTGCGGGATCAGCACAAGCGAAGACCCTCACTGGAGATCATTCGACACGGGGGCTGTCAGCAAGGGCTCAGGCCGAGCAGTGGTGGTGGGCATGGTGCAGGACCAGGTGAGAGGGTGGTGGGGATGGCCCAGGACGAGGCAGTGTGTTGCTCTGTTGGACGTTTACATCACCACCCCATCGTCTATTTCTTAGGGGTATGTACTTATGCAAGGTGGGACCAGTCCTAGGGGAGGAACATCATGCTTTGGCGGTTGGGAGGACAGTGCAGGAGAGGAAGACCCTTGAAGAGATGGACTGATTCAATGAGGGGGGTCATGAGATAATGGGTGAATCAGAGACAGTGAGATTGGCACAGGATAGAGCAGGGTTTAGGTTGCTGTGCGTCGCAGGTGACTTGACGGCACATAACAATAACATACTTACGTAATAACAACGGAAAGACATGACTGGAGATGATGGAGCACAAATTTGAGGCGTATGCTCTGGCCTGGGGAGGGGAGGGATCGGGGCCAGGGAGGCTCATGATATAATCTCTCACAGAGGTTTCACTTTGAGAGCTAACTCCGCGGCTCTCCTGCCCTCATCTTCTCTGCTCTTCCTTCACTTGTTCCTCTCCAAGCACCCAGCCTCTTCTCTTCTCATCAAACACCAGACACAGTCCGGCTCAGGGCACTGGCACAGGCTGTATCCTCTGCCCAACATTCAACTTCCTTCAGCTACCTGTGCGGCTCCTCCCCCACCTCCTTCGGATCCTCCTCCAAACATCACCTTCTCAACGATGTCTTTCCTGGCTACCAGCTTCCCTACCCTTAACTCATGGTATTCCTGCTGTGTTTGTCCTCTTGAGTCCTTATCAATATCCAACGCATGTCTGCAGGTGTTGTGTGCTGTCAAGCGGCTTCTTGTTCAGTCTTTTTTTTTTTTCTTTTTGTATACCATCGAATCGGATCCAACCAGCACAGGAGGAGATTACCCCTCTTTCTCCAGCAAGCATCTGGCGGATTCGAACCGCACACCTTTGGGATGTCAGTGCAGTATCTTTTCCACTAGGGCAGCAGAGCTCCCTCAAGTGGGTTCTTGACACTAGGTTTTTGACTCAAGGTTCACAGCGACCTTCTATGACAGGGCACCCTCTGCCTCATGGGGCTTCTTAGGCTGAAATCCTCCAGGTGCAGGTTTGCCAAGTCTTTTCTCTTATGAAACTGCGGATGGGTTTGAACAGCAGAGCACTTACCCATTACATGGCCGGCACTCCTGTTCCAACACACTCGGTATTTGCCCGTTCACTCATTCCTTTAGTTCTCCCGGCTCTCCCACTAGAATAAAACCCCATGAAGGAAGGGGCTCTGGGCTGTCTTTTCCCCTGCTGTGCCCCAGAGTCTGGTACCTAGCAGGTGTCTGATAAATATTCATTGAATAAATAATGCATATATACAAGTGTTGGTTAAATTATTCTTGACTACTTTTTGATTATCTGAGTTTATTATCAACATTCTTAGGAATAAAAAAAAAGTCAGCTTGGTGGCTATCTCACAGCTGAGTTTTCTAGCAGGTAAGAGAGAAGAGGCTAGCTCTGGAGGCCTAGTGGCAAGTGGCTGCACTGCAATCCCAAAGGTGTGCGGTTTGAATCCACCAGATGCTCTGCTGGAGAAGGAGGGGAAATCTCCTGTACCAGTCAGATCTGATTTGACAGTACACACATACAAAAAAAAATTAAAAAGAAAAGAGATAAGAGATGGAGAAATGACATCTACCTGGAACCTTGGGTTCAAATCGACAGGGAACAAACAAACATGGGTCCCTCAGTGAACTTTCAAATCCTCCAGAGCTGGCCCAGACTCCTCACAATAGAGCACTCACATCAGAACTTGTTACAGACAAGAGTCAATGTGATACACAGCCCCTTCCTGGGGGAAAGTGACACCATTCTGGACAGCAAGTGTTCACAATCTGGATAGCAAGGGATCAGCAGACACGGCATGAGGGCCAAGTTCATAGCATCCGCCAAGAAAGTCAGGAGCAGGCGTAGCAGCAAAGCCCAGGGGAGAATGAAGAGGAAGGACTCCCCAGTGAAGAGGAGTCTTAGACAGGAAGAGACAGGATCATCCCAGAGGGCTGGAAGCAGTGGCAAAGGAGCCAGGGCTCAGCACGATGGCCATGTCCACAGTGAAATCTGAGAAAACGCCCGAGGGTCTTCAGCAGAGACTCGCAAGCTGTTCACCACATCTATTTCCCTTTCCTACTAAGCACAGCCTGGCTCTCAGCAACCCTGCAGTGAGGTGTGATCAACTGACTGAGTGCTGGCCAACGGGGTCCAAATGGCAGAGGAACTGGCAGCTCTATGAAAACTTCCCTAGTACCAACTCCGTGGGTATTTTTTGTTTGTTTGTTTTTATTCCACAGCTGGGTGTAGATAAGCACAGAGGTACTGAGAGTTGTGGACTGGCAATGAGGAGTCATACATAATATGACAAGGGCCAGTGTCCCTCCATCAACATTTTGAAGATAGAAGCCCATCAACTAGTAACACTTGTTTTGAACTTTGAGCAAGAAACAGAGTTCCATTGTGCTCAAGCCATTATCTCCTTTTGAGTTTTGTCTGCACAGTAGCTAGTGTTACTTCTACAGGGTTCTTGGCGGCAAGGGTCTACACTGTCACACCCCAACTATGGTTCATCGTGTTTATATATCTGAAAACTCGCCCAAGGTAATGGCTGGTTGTCTCCAAAGCCTTCGTCACAATCCCTTGCACCCAGAAGTCTTCAGTAAACACTCACTAACTTGAAAAAGGGCAAGAAGTCTGCTGGCAAACCAAGAGAGACACACATATGAACAAGAGTCCAATGCCTGAGTTCTGGAATCACAAAATTAAAGGTTCAAAACAGAGTGTCAGAGTGGCTTAAGCCAGCTCAGTCAGGCTGATGAACTCATACTAGAACACATTCAAATTTTAAACATTTGAGTGATCCAGAAGGCTAAATGTTGTAGGAAAATGTTGAGGTCCAGCCCTGGAATGTGAGGCGTGGAAGAGAGCTAGTAAGCCTTTTTAAGAGTCTGATACATGAGCTTGGGTTATTGACAAAAACACTGAAGGTGGCACACATCTAATGCAGCTCAACTGGGCGCCATCTTTGAGCTTGGCACCATTGTTTTTGACTCAGACAAACACGATCTTTGACTGATATGCAATGAGCACACTGTTCTTGTTTTCTAAGAGGGAGCTTGAGCTTATAGAAGGGCTTCAACTTGTAATTTATTTTTTTTCTTGTTCTAGCTAGCATTCTGGTACACTCACATTTAAAAAACTGACTCCATCCCAGTGTTACTTTGTTAGTCATAACTAAACCAGGCCGAACTAGTTCAACGCCCTGGTTTGAAATCCAGCTCTATCACCTCCTAGCTGGTCACTCTTTCAGCTTACTCTGTGTTTGAGTTTCCTCTGTGGTAAGCTGGTAGTACTGCTGGTGTTGCTGTCAGTGCCTGTTGATTTGTCTCTGACTCACGTCAACCTTGTGTATAACAGAACCAAACACTGTGTGTCCTGGGCCATCTTTATGATTGCAAGGGGACAGTAACAAGTACTTTGGAAGCAGGTGAATATAAAAATAAAAAGTCAGTGTTCACCCCCCCCCCATAAAGCTACTGTTCTCACTGTCATGGAAAGCGTCCACCATGGTAAAGAGGTGGGAAAGGAGGTAGGTGCACATTAACAGAGCAGGGGCTCAGCTCTCGTAAACCCAGCCTGGACCACACCAACCACTCCACTGCCAAAGCTCTCGGTACCCCTCGGCGAGACCATCCTGAAGAGCAAAGCACCTACCCTGTTAGCACCACCACAAAGTCCATGACGTTCCAGCCATTCCTCAAGTAAGAGCCTTTGTGGAAGGCAAACCCAAGCGCGATGATTTTAATTCCAGCCTCGAAACAAAAAATTCCGATGAAGTACGGTTCTGTGTCATCCTGGAAGGAAGAAGAGGCAAGGTCAGCGTCTCTGGCTGGGCAGTGGTCGTGGTCCTCAGCCTGGGCAGAGCCTGGCTCCCCCCTGGAAAGCACCCCCCTTTCATTGCCCCCGTCTCAGCACTCGCTGCTCCCATGCACCATCCTGCCTGAGCTGATGCCCGCAGACAAGAGAACAGCAGCCAAGAGGGGACACTCATCTTCTTTCCTCCTGGACAGCCTCACACCACATGGCTGAGGAAACCCATCTGTCCAGAGCTACGCTGGCCATTGCAGTTGCCACTGTCCACATGTGGCTGGTCGGATTGAAAATCATCTTCATGAAGTAAAATGCAAATTAAGTTCCTGAGTCACACGACCCACGTTTCAAGGGGCTGCCGTGCTGGATAGTCCATCATGGTCCAAAGTTCTACTGGACACAGATTTCAAAGCCCGACGTGGAAGCCTCGGAAGGTGGTCTCTAGGCCCCCTCCCCCTCCCAAAGCCTACGTCTGTGGAGCATCTCCACCTGTACATGCCAGCACAGCTGTTTTGCGGTTGTTAAAATATTTAAAGAGTATTCAAACCAGTTGTTAAAATACCTCTGCTGAGGCTGATAAACAGCTAGAACCCAGCTCTGGCCTCTGCAGCCCTTCCCCTCTGGTTGTTTTTAGCTGACAGCCCATCAGAGCTGAAATTAAGCTGTAAGTTCCATCAGAGCCCTCCTCATGGGCATCTGCTCATCTCGACACCACGCTCCTCCAACTGCAATCATTTGCATTCTGCCTTCATGATTTTTTTTCTAAATCAGCTTACCACTCATATCACTATTTGCTTACTATTCTACTTTCAATGGTCTATTTTTATTTAGCCTCATCAAAGGGGGGGGAAAGGCTCTTAAAATCAGAGGCTTGAGAGCTCCACTGCTGTCAAGTCAGTTCTAACTCATGGTGACCCCATGCAGGTCTCAGGAGAACCATATCCCAAAGGGTTTTCAATGGTTGATGTTTTGGAAGTAGATCCTTGAGCCTTTTGTCTGAGGCATCTCTGGCTGGATTTGAACCTTCAACCCTTTCCATTCCATTAGCAGCAGTGTATTAACTGTTTGTACCACCCAAGGATTCCAGAGGCTTGCTAGGTCAGTATATATATATATAACAGAGTATAAGAGTATAACAAATACATTGGAAGCAGGAGTGGCATTCACTTCCTAAATAGCATGCTTCTGGAAACTCTATGAACTTCGATAAATGTCAGTAGTTGTAGAAGGGCTTTCAAGCCTTTTGTTCATAGAATCACTATGAGTCGTGCTTGACTCAAAGGCAATCAACAACAACAGCACAACATAATAAATACATGCGTAGCTGTTAAAGTCCTGAGACAGTATTTGGTGTACTTCCATTAGGAAGGAGTGATTTCTAACAACTTCCTCTTCTTGAGGCCCTTGAGAGAGACAAGCCATTTGTGTCTACCCAGAGGGGTGTCTTGGAAGAACAGCCTGGTCACTGGAAGCCCCACGGAGCACAGGTCTGGCAGACACGGTGCTGCCATGAGATAGTGGTGACTCAAGGCAACTGGTTTTTAACACGTTGCTGCACACTTTCGTGCTTAGAAACACTTTTTTTTCCTCCGATGTATTACCGTCATTTGAGGCAATGTATTAGTTGGTTTTGCATTTCTCTGAGTGAGCAGGGCTGACCCCCATGTACAGGAAACACCAGGGGGCTAAAGGAACAGTAATATCAATAATATCGTAAGGAAGGAGCAGTCCTGGATGAGAATGTGGGCGTGACTCTGCCAATCTCACAAAAGTCAATGGCAGGAGGGAAAACTGGCAGCAGATCCCAAGTCTTCAGCAGCACAACCACCAAGATGAATCACACATCTTGAAATCAACCAGTTGGAACCAATCAATTATAAAAAGTCATTTCTGAGACTAACATGGAAATCTGACTATGGGCTGGATTTCGAATGATTCCAGGGAATGAACCGTGTTGGGATTTAAGAAAAATGCCTGTATATTTTGGGTGATGCAGACTTAGGCTGCTGGTGGTGACTCCTCATTCAAGAATGAAAATCCAAGGGGTAAAAGGACAGAGGAAGTGAAGGTGTCTGGGTCTTGACACCTGCTAGATCTGGAGAGGGGACTCACTGCATGGTCCCCTCTCCTTCTGAATGTGGTCAACGCCTTTCACGATAATTTTACTCTCAGGGTGATGATTTCATGGACAATGTGAGCATCATCTGTCACCCATCTCTTCCCAGATGACCCCAGCTCCACTGCTGGGTAAGGAGGGTGGGGACGGCCCCTCTCTCCCCTAGATGCTGGCAGATCATATAAATTGGGCTTTCTATTATTTGGCCCTTGGTTCTAAGACTAAGAGCTCCCTCTAGTCCTTGTTCCTCCCCCAACCAATTCACGAGGACAGCAAAGGCGAGACCCCAGAAGAGGCACCACTTACCAGTCGTTCTGACATTGGGGTCTTGTCATCATCAGGCAAATGTTGCTCCAGGGCGAGGACTATGCAGTTTGCTATGATGGTGGCTAAAATCATATATTCAAAGGGAGTACCGGAGAGTTAAGGAAAAGCTTTCTGGCTTAGTGAACAGAATACAGAGAAGGGGCATTCAGAGGGGTGCATGCCTTGTTGGTTCAAATCCTCCTGAGATACCCCAAAAAGCACCGCCTCCCAAGATCCAGCCCAAAGCCCACAGGTGCCCCCTGACTACACCCTGGTATCTCCCACTTTGGAGGCTCGCAGCGAGCACGGACAGGTGGCAAATCATGTTGAGAGAATCCTCTGGGGCACCAGATCTGGAGTAGACGACTTGAGTGGAAAACATGGTTAATGTACTTTCATCACATCTCCAGCCTTCAGTGAACAAACACTATAATTCAGCACCTATTGTGTACCAGGCCCTGTCCCAGGCACCGGGGAAGACGCTAAGAGTAAAGGGCCTGCCCTCGAGGAGAAGCAAACAGATGAGGTCACTCTGTACATGCTGGTAGATAGAGAATGTTCTGGAGCACGAGAGCAGGGAAGGAACCGGGGCGGGGGGGCAGGGGTGGGGGAGGGCTGTTGTTTAAGACACACTGGTCTTACATGACATGTGGCAAAGGCAGTAAGGGGGGGAATATATAAATTAGACATCAGCAAAATAAAAAATCCCATACATCAAAGGTATTGTTGTTTGGTGCCGTCGAGTCGTAGATGACTCATAGCAACCCTATGAACGAACAGCCTGAGCACTGTTCGTACGTAAGAGTTTTCCAAGGCAAGCCATTTTGGAAGTGGATGCCGCTCCTGCTTCCAGGCTTGTTTTAGTCGGGAAGCTCCAGCCAACACTGTCCACCATGGGTACCCATTACCACGATTGGCACATCACTGTCACAGTCTTCAACATCACAGCAAAAGATAACCTACGACCTGGGAGACCAGAGCTAATGTATTTTTATATCAGCTATAATAATAACTAGGTCCATCATCTCATTCACATATCAGATATAATACATCTGACAAGCTCTTGAGCCTAGAATGTATGAAGAATGCTTAGTGATTCAACAACAACAACAACAACAACAACAACAAAAAACCCAAAACAAAACAAGCAATCTGGTAGTTAGAAATGGGCAAGAGACTTGAACACAGATCTCTCCAAAGCCGCACAAACGGCCAGTAAACACATGGAAAATGCTCCGTTCTTTAGCGGAAGGAGCTGCAAATCCAACCCCATGGAGATACGACTTCGCCCCTATCATAACCCTCTCCCCCTGATTCACAGTGACGCTGTGAGTTATGGAGTAGGACAGGTCTCCAATGGGTCATCTTTTCTGGCATCTTTAGGGAAGCGTATCACCAGCCCTTTCTTCTGTAGTGCTGCAGGTGGGTTCAGGGTTTAATTTGCCAACTTTTATGTGAGGACGTGGCTGCAATTTGCATTTGCCACCAAGTGCCTTCCACTCACACAGCGAAGGCTGAAACAAAATCCAGGAAAGCATGACTGTTGGGGAAGAAAGGGAAGGACCAGCGATGTGGATTGTTCCTAAGAGTGTAAGAGGTGCAGCCACCTGGGAAAACATTTTGATGGGTTTTTTTATTTGTTTGTTTGTTTTTTAATTTAAACCTAGAGTTACTGACTGACCCAGGAATTCCACTCCTAGGTATATCCCCACAAGAAGTGAAAACACATCCATGAAAAACTGTGTACACCGGTGTTCCCTGAAGCATGATTCACAACAGCCAGAAGGTGGAAACAGCTCACGTGCCCATCAACAGACGTATGGACACACACACACTGCAGTGTGCAGCAAAGCGGACTATTACTCAGCCATGAAAAAGGAACGAAGCACTGGTTCCTACCACATGGATGAACCTCTAAGATGTTCCATTGAGTGACTGCAGCCAGAGGCAAAGGGTCACCTACTGTGTGAGCCTATTTGCATGAAATGCCCATAGAGACAGAAAGCAGTGGTTGCAAGGGCAGGGGGAGAAGGGGGACACTGGAGAACTGACTGATTGATGAGTATTAGATTTCCTTTAAGGAGCCTGGTCAGTGCAGTTGTTAAAAACCTTGGCTGCTTATCAAAAGGTGGCAGTTTGACATCATCAATTGAGAATGGTGAACCGTAGGGGGTTTGGAACTGGCATCAACTCAACAGTAGTGGGTTTGCTTGAATCTCCTCTAATCACAGCCCTGAGGAAGCAGACAGAGGTGGAGGCTGCACCATAACGTGAACGGTGAGCCGGACTCACTCAACGGCGCCCAACAACAACAAGTGCTGCTTTAAAGTGGCTTATTTTATGTGATGTGAATTTCAGTGAAATACAGTGGTCAAGGCAGGACTTTGAGAAGCTGGCCCTTCAGAATCTAAGGGTGGAAGAGACAGCCCACGTGGCCATGTGCAGAGCAGCACTGAAGGTGGAGGCTCCTGGGAGGTGAGGACCCAGAGAAGTAGCCAGGAGGCCTGTGAGGCCGGAGCGGGGGGGGGGTGGGGGTGGGGAGGGAGGTGGTGGAAGGCGCCTGTGTGGGGCTGTGGTGGCTGCGGAGACGGGGATGGGAGGATGCTGGCTTTTCTGAGATGGGATTCCAGGAGGAGCATTTCACTCCCCCCATTCCCCCTCCTTGCAACATCTTACACCAAAGAGCCTCAAGTCAGGTCTCAGAAGGCACACGAAAATGGAGCCATATGAAATGCCCCAAAAACAAACAAAAAGAAAAAAGCCTCATGGACAATGGTCCCTAATTAGACACCAGCCAAGGGGCACGAGGACTCTGTGCACTTTACAAAACAAGTATCTGGGCCATGAGCATTGCAATCTTCTCCACGGCCCACCGGCTCTTTTCTCTTAACAGCTTCATCCAGATCTAATCCACAGACCAGGCAATCCAGCCATTTACGGCGTACTATCCCCCGGTTTTTAGTATATTCAGTCAAGCAACGCTCACCGGTATATAATTCCAGAACATTCTCAGCATCCCCCCAAAAATCCCTTGTACCCATTAGCAATCACCTTCTATCCCCTCTCCCACCAGTCTTTGCTATTTCAGACTGAACATGGACCGATTATTTCAGAAGTGGATGGCCGCCCTTCATGTCATAGACTTTCAGCATGTTCTTAGGAGGAACCAATCACTGAAGAAAGAGGTAATGCTTGATGAAATAGAGGGAGAGAAAAAAAAGGAGGAAGATCCTTAATGAGACGGACTGGCACAGGAGCTGTGGGAACTCAAACAGAGAAGCGTCCCTGAGGATGGCACCAAAAGGGCAGTGTTTTATTCTGCCATGAGTTGAAATCAATTTAATTGCACTTAACAATAATAACAATCAACACCTGACAGTTACCACTCGTTTTCTGTCTCTGGATTTGCATATTCTGGACATGCCATATACATGGAGTCTTACAACATGTGGCCTTTTAGAGGACTGGCTTCTGTCAGTGATCTATATCAATGCATCATTCTTTTGCATGGCCAAGTAATATTCCACTGTGTGGATGTACCACATGTTGTGTATCCGTTCAGCCGCTGTATAAACGTTCACATACATGCTTCCCTGCAGAACATGTTTCATTTCTCTCAGGAGCAGAGCTAGATGTGGAACAGTTGGGTCAAATGGTAACTCTAGGTTTAAGGTGCAGAGGAACTGCTTGGGTGTTTTCTCAAACGCATCCACCACAGCACATGCCCACCAGCAGAGCGTGAGCAACCCACTGCCCATCTGTTTTCTTCTTTGCTGCGGGTGTTTTAACTGACCTCATTTCTCAGAGCGGTTGCCTGTTTGTAGAAGAAACACACAGAAAGTTCTGCTATCTCAAGGAAGCCCTCTGGCCATGCCCTCAGTTTCTCTTGTTGGCTGACACTCTAAAGGATCGCTCTGAGGCTTCCCTTTGCCCTGCGAAGCTGTCTGTAAGCCCTGAGCCATCCATGCCTCCAACCACTAGCTCCTTCCTGCTCCCTGGGAGCCCTTGATGGGTTGATGAGGCTCCAAGAGTCTCTGGAGGGACTGCCCATGAGAAAAGTCACTGCCATTAGGATCTGGCCCGCTGGTCCCATGGTGAGTCCCAAAGTCTGCCTTCACCATCAAAACCTCAGGAGCACCTTCAGCCCAGCAGCCTTGGTACCCGGGGCTGGTGCTTTCTGCGAAGGATGGGAGGGGATGTTAGAGGGAGAAAAGCCTGCGGTGTTGGCTATTCTGAAGCCTGGCTCCCTAACTACAGCACTGCTACCAATTGGGGCCGGATCATCGTGTGCAGTGGGGGACTGGCTGGGCAAGGCAGGATGCTGAATATCCTCCCTGGTGTTACAGATTTAATTTCATCCCTCTAGAAGACGTGATGGAGTCCTAACCCCTGCAGTTATGCGTGTGGCCTTGTTTGGGGCCGGAAGAGGCCTTTCTTGCAGATGCTGTCAGTTATATTACACGGGGCTGGAGCAGCGTGGGTCTTGATCCTAATCTTTTCTGAGGGATGTTCACACCAAGGAGAAGACGCTATGTGAGGACCCATCTACAAGCAGCAAAGGGATGGATGATTACTAGCCACTGCCAGAGACCAGGAGAGAAGTAAGGGGTCAGCTCCCCCCACTAACACGCTCAGAAGGGACTGACTTGACTGACTTGGGCCGCTGGTCTCCAGAACTGCGGAGAAGTTGAGTTCCTGCTCCTCAGAGCCACCTCCCTTGTGGTATTTTGTTCTGAGAGTCCCAAGCGCCTTAGATACCTAGCCTTGACCTATTTGATGCCGGTAGCATCCCCCGTCCTAGTTATGACAACTGAGAATGATTCCGGTGGCTGCTGAATGTCCCCAGGCACAGAAACCGCCCCAGGTGAGGACAGACATGGTGCAGAGGCTCGGAGCAGCCTGCCTTGGTGAAGGTGCCACGTTGAAGCACGTCCCCTTCTCCTAGCTGGTGCCTTTAAAAATTATTGGCCCTATATCTCTTCTTAGGGAGGTCTGGCAGCGTAGGGGTAAGAAGCTGCACCGCAATCCCAAAGACATACAGTTCGAATCTACCAGATGCTCTCCAAGAGAAGGATGAGCAATCTCTGGTGCAATTTTCTGCCTTTG